GGATATACTTCCTCAATGCACTGACATTATTCCACTCAGCCCTGTGAAAATGCACTTACTTGTATCGTATCATCACTCTCACAGAGCTTCTGAACTACAGCTCTACGTCTGAACAACGTAACATTATAACTGCATGCTGGAAGCAATGGATGATGGGATATGTAATCTTGAGAAATGGAGATTGTATCACATCAAGCAGCAGGGAAAGAGACACAAAGCACACTGGGAATCCACAAAGTTGTTGGAAGTGATGGGCAGACAAAAGACAGCACTCACTACACAGGGTCACCCTTAGAAATAATGGTGCCCCATTTAGCCTACATGGCTAGCCCCCCCACCCCCACAAGCTGCTGATGGCATGCTGGTACTCATGGTCCCCCCACAGTCTCACACTTTTATTATACATGTTTAGCTCTGACATATACCACAGGGCTGTACAGAGAACACTGAGTCAGTCACATTAGTCTCTGTACAGAGAAGCTTACACTCTAATGCAGAATGTCACCGGCTGTAGGGGGACTACAAATCCCAGTAATACATTATACAGCAATGCAGAACAGTATATGAATTAGACTTAGTAACGCACTGGACTCAGGACTTAGTAACGCACTGGACTCAGGATTCAATAACACACATCACTCAGGACTTAGTAACGCACTGGACTCAGGACTTAGTAACGCCCTGGACTCAGGACTTAGTAAAGCGCCGCACTCAGGACCGGTGCTGCTGGGGCCTGGCCTCTCCCGCCACCTGACCGGCGCTGCTGGGGCCCGGCCTCTTCTGCCCCCGGGCCGGCGTCCAGCCTCCTCCACCCCTGTCACCTTGTCAAGTTCCCTGTCAAGTTCATTGTTTAGGGTTTACATTTGTTTTGGTTATCTCCCATCAGCCCGTCATTGGCAGAGGTGTATGTACAACAAATTGCCCCCCTGGTGTCGCGCCAAGCTCCTGGCAACCAGTGACGTCACTGGTTGCCAGGAGCTGGGTGGGATGCCGGCCAGAGCATCCCTGGTTGCTAAGAGATGAGCAGGGAGATGTGTCACAGCCAATCACATCTCCCCACCTGGCTCTTAGCAATCTGGGATACTCTGGCCGGCATCCGACCCAGCTCCTGGCAACCAGTGACGTCATGAGCTAGGTGGGAAGCTGACCAGAGCATCCCTGGTGGTTGCTAAGGGTAGGGCGGGGAGGGGGGGGGTGTATGGGCGAACATTTGCTGATCCACGGAACGTCGCCTAGGGCACGTGCCGTATTGCCATACCCTGGATACGCCACTGGTGATTGGACAGTGAGCGAGCAGCGTCAGACTGATGGGATCGTTGCTATGCTGTCTCCTTCCTTTAGCATAATCCTTGTCAGCATGCAGCCTGATTGGCTTAGAGTGCGGAGAATGACAATCGACTGATATCAGGGCTCCAGTTGCATAAATAAAATACTTGATATTTTAACAAATACAACGCAGGATGGAATTGTTTCTTTCACATATCTGCCAGTTCAGTTCAGCTTTACGGATGATTGGCAGACTTGCTCTGATCCAATACTCACAAGGAGGCAAAGACAAAACAAAGAACAGACCTGAGGGCTTTGTGGGTCACTGTGTCATCATAGCTTAAAGAAAAAGAACTTTGCATATAACAGGAGCAGTCCTTATAGGATTCCTCCGACGCGCTCTCCATTATTTAGTACTCGACTCTGCATACTGATTAAAGCTTGATTCATTAAAAATCAATAAGGGAAAAGTGTGTGTGTGATGCTCAGCAGTATTTACATGCGGCACTTAAGGAGCAATTTCCAGGAACAAGCGACACTAATTAGTGAACTGCTATCTTAGCAAACACTGCAACCATGCTAAAGACAAACAAGCTTACCATAATCAGAGTTCTGTATGATCCTGAGCAGACAGATTTCTGTGAGCTCCTTGCACGTGGTACGGGTGGGCATGTTTCCTAAAGCCTGCGCCGTGTACCTTTCTCTGTGTTTGCTTGATGTATCATCGTTCTGAGTCGAGCTTCCAAGGCATTTTTTAATCGTATTTTTGGCCGGAAGGAGCTTTTATAGTTTTGAAAATTTTTGTTTTGGCGTGTGCCAGAAGTTGGTGTGTGTGGGAACACCTTTACTGCATGACAAACAGAAAAGCAGAAAGGGTT